ACACACACACATACACACACACACACACACACATATATATATATATATATATATATATATATATATATATATATATATATATATATGTATGTATGTATGTATGTATGTATGTATGTATGTATGTATGGAAGTAGGTTCATGCGAAAACATAAATATCTTGCGAAAACGCGAAAACATATTTTATCTTATAAAAATCAAACTCAAGTACTATAAAAATTAAATTTATTAGCAATAAATTTAAGATAATAAGTTTACATTGGATTGTGTTATGATAATATAGATTTAAAGACGGTTTTATCAACTATTTTTTTCACGTCCTTAACCACTTTTAAATTCATGTTTTTATAATAAAAATGTCAAAAATCATGCTTTGCTAATATGAAACAATTTCTCATGCATAATCGATTATCATCATGTACTTTAAAGTTTGGATGAATTATTGTCCAAAATATAAGGTTGAGGTGGCACAATATTATAGTTTTTTCTTGTTTTCGTGTTTTCGCAAATTATTTGCATTTTCGCATGAACCCTCCCCTGTATGTATGTATGTATGTATGTATGTATGTATGTATGTATGTATGTATGTATGTATGTATGTATGTATGTGTGTCAATGATGTCCAGCCTAGCTGGGAAGAGGCACCAAGTTTTATAACCTTTTGAGGTCTGAGGTGGGGTCTTCGATCCTTGTTAAACCCTCTTAATAGCTCTTCATTTAAGGAATTTTCCCCTAGATTTCCTCTGATAGGTTTCATAGGTTATAAATCTATGCATGAGGTGGAAAAATACTTCACTATTGATACCAATAAAATATGAACATCAAGAACCGTAAAGGAACTTTATAGTAATCGAAAATAAGCATAAAATTAGGGTGTACATACCTTTTGATTATTATAGTAAATAACCAAACAAAATTTCTTCTTGAAAGCCTTAGAAAGCAAGCACCAAATATATGATGCCTCTAATGGCTCACACCCAAACCCCTAGAAAACCTAGAATGAAGAGGAGAGAGGAAGAAATTTCATTCCTATGCTTGTAGGTGAAGGAATGAACGAAAATTGATGGCCTTGGGGTTCTATTTATAATTTAGGTAACTTGTACGCAAAGACAGGTTTAAATTAATTAAATAATAGATTTAATTCCAATTCAATTCTTTTCCTTTTATGCAACCAGGAGGCTTTCAGAAAACCTAGAAGAGCCTTCAAAACCGTTCATGCCATGGAGGGTTTTAGAATTGCTTCTTTTGTTTAACTACTGAACAATTACAATTCACCCCTTACACCTTTAATTAACTCCAATTAATCCCAAATTAATTCCTGATTAATTATAAATTAATTCGAATTGATTTCTTAATAATTTATTAACCATATACATTAACAAATCAATTATTTAACTATTGAACTCATGTTAATTTATGTATCACATAACAAATTAACAGATCAATTATCCATTTCCAATTAGTATATGAATTACATAATATATTAACAAATCATTTCTCTTTCTCTCTCCTAATATCATTTCTAGCTATTTCTGATTATAAGGGCAACCCAAAAAGGAATATTCTTCAATTTTCATATTTATACCAATTTATTGATGAGCTTAGACACCTTAATCCAAAAGTCCCCCACTTGGATAAGTCTATAACTACAATTGCAAGTATAACCGAACTGCAGAGAGTGCTTTCCAAAGCCACTGTCGAACTCTGATCTAATCAGACATTGGCCCTAAGATAAGTGATCAAATATTCCTTCATTCTAGAAGATATCGTATGGACATGAGACATGGATTAGAATCAATCTCATAGTCCAATATTTTGTTTTTCGATTTCCTGATTTATGAAGATTGAATTCAGACTACTAATTGAACATATAAATTAAGTTCGGGCTCGGTTAAGCACTTCAGATGTCGAGAAAAAATCATCGAGGGGCCCGGAGATATTCGTTTTCCCGTTAAGGAAAAAGGAACAAATAAAATTCGACTTATATGCTTGTACCTTTTACTTACCAAATCATGCATGCCATTACGTTTTATGACATCACGTTACTGATGTGTTTTTGCAATGCCAATGCACAATCAACTTGTAAATTACAACTCATATATCTTTGTTTTAAGAATAAAATATATTATCGTCTCAGAATAGCTCGTGATAGAATCTATGAAGTAATTCTCTGAGCGTGAGTTTATCCAATACTCAAAATCCCATTTTTTCTAAGTACTCATGAACATTATAGCAATCTTATTGCAATTTATAATCCCCATAGACAATCTACAATTCAATTCATGAAAATCTTAATTCACTACTTCCTTCAAAAACTATGAGCGACTGTGGAATTTCGAACAAAAAAATCATTACGGAAGTAAAACATGCAAAGTGAAACACAATAATAAACTAATTAACTATTGTCTCAAATCTATTGAATATAAATAAATTTCTATTATTTAATCACCATAATAATTATGACTTTATTCATTGTAGATTTTTTCGAGTAATAAACTGACCACTTGAATTAAACATTAGTCTATGGTCCTTCCTTTGTGAACATTAGTCATTGTAGAATGTTTCGAGTAATCGACTTTATTCATTGCATACTATGCCTCTCTATGGTCCTTCCTTTGTGAACAAATCAACAAGACATTATTCCAATTATGGTCATTTCACAATTCCAAATTCTTATCACTATCCAAGATATGATGGAATTCCAACTTAACATGCATTAATCTCCTGTGATATTAAGATTCCGAAGTCTCAAAGACCGAGTCTTTGATATTATAGAATATCCCATTGGAAATTTGTTACTAGAAACAGTTCCATGGTAATGAAGGTTATAATTCAAGGTATACTCCTTGAATACTTCTCTTGCATTAAAGTTTCCAACTCACATGTAGACATTTCAACCATCCCCCATTATGATACCTTTCCATACTCCCATATGATCATCAGTTATGATCAAGAATTATCTCAATCCAGAATCATGTCACTATGGTCCGTCCAAATTAATATCATACTTCTAACTATCCACAAGCAACTACTATTTTGGTATAACCTTAGAATGTTGTTGCCAGTTTTTTTACAACTTTAGTCACACAAAATTCTAGTCCTTTTTCACATAATGCTCTGAGCATTTGAAAAAAAATAGAATAACTGAATATTATAGCATATGTAATCGATCCTATATCCGAAAGCGTATGGGACTCAACACTTTATATCTTATATAATGATCTGATATCTGTTTAATCTCTTGCTATAATATTTCCATATATGGAATTTCCTATGTTGAACCATTTCAGCATGATATTCATATACGTCTATGACTAAGTTCTATTAAACTATATGATCTAAACCTTTAGAATCGAAACAGAGTATGAGTGCCCTTTCCCTTAAGTCTGTTCTAGCGAAACAATTCCCAAACTTTGCAATTTGAAAATTCAAAACTTTGTTCCCTATAAATAGTATTGTCAACATTCAATAATAGCATAAAAATGATGCTCCCACTAGCTTTGGCATGTACCTAGAAATCAATTGAACTTTTAGAAATCAATACTCTTGACTTTCGTAATATCCCAAAAATTGTATGGGTGCTTGCATTCCCCTTCGGTCTATTTCAATGGGATACTGTCAAGGATATATGGGTGGTTGCATTCCCCTTCGGTATATTTCAACCGGATATTGTCATGCATATCTGGGTGCTTGCATTCCCCTTCGGTCCATTTCAACCGGATATTGGGTCTATTTCACCCCTACCACTACCAAAATAATACCATAACTAAATGATCACAGAAACATCAAACAAATACAGACATACTAGACAATTATCACAAAGACAATCATCTTACTACAAGCACAAATTGGTGGGTCAACAGTGGTGCCTTCGACCCATGGATACAGTGACGGAAACTCACCTCAAGCCGTTGAATCTGTCAGATAAAATCTCGATCTGCTGATCTAAAAAAAATCCCCGCGCGCTAGCACTATCAGATAACATCCAATTAATAATTACATCTCGACCAATAATCACGAATCTAAATTACTCGCCCAATGAACAAGGTAAATGTGACATCCCGGAATTTAGGTCAAAGATTGTGAACGGTCAAGTTCATAGTAAGTCTCTTGATAAATTGACTCATTGAGTTTTAGTGCATCTAATATAAAATAAATGAGTTATTCCAACTATTATAAGATACCATATGGTATCTTACTTCCAAATGTTTAATTTGGCAAATAAATCAAACAACTCAAACGACAACCTTAGGAGTGCGCCTGAAAAACTAAAATATCATATTAAGCCGTTGTGAGAAAAACAAACACTATAGTCTTGTAGAACTCGTTTCCCTGTTTTCGAAAATATAAAGAACGTCCAAAATGGAGTTCGTATGCGAAGGATACGACCGTTTTAAGAATCGAAAACCAGTAAAATACTGATTTTCTTAAAAACCACTAAAATCGTTTCTATCAATTGAGGAGCTTGCACACCTCAAATAGAGATTCCGAAAGCATTTTTGGACTCAGGCTATAGCCTAATATTTAATTTCATATTTGAAATATTTTTATAAAAATATTTATAAAAGTCGAAAATCAGCTTAATTAAACGCGGAACTTTAAACGTATTTTCACAAAGATCAGTATAACAAAACTCAATCCATTTGCATTTTTGGAATCACCACGACCTGAAAATTAAGCAGACACTTTTAGAAAATTCATATGAACCGCTACGAGGACACGAGAATCGAGGTATACATCACGATAAATAAATATATACAAAAATATATTGTAGTTATTTTTGTGAAAATGTTTATAAGATATATATTGGCAAGGCCACTATAATGTATATATATTTTTGGTGTCCTATGCAACTTAAAAGAATCCATATTAATAGTATAATCACAATATATATATGTTATATAATTAAATCTTATATAACAACACTAAATATATATAAATTTTACATTCCTAACGTATGAGTTTAAATTTATATAGATATAAAATACAAGTTATGTAACAAACTCATAATACATACATAGATATAGCATGAATATACATCAATATATACCCAAATTCAACCAAATACATCTGTTCAATCTACAAAATACAAATAAATAAATAGATACAAATAAATGAATAAATAAATAAATAAAGACAACTTCTATGTTTCTTCCAAGCTTCGTCCTAAGCAAAACCACACTTACACTTCTTCTGTCAAACAAGGAAACTTCTTCTGTCAATCAAGGAAAAGGGAAGGTTAACACTCCAACACAATCATCGTACAAATACAAGCTTTAACTGATAAAAATATATGATAAAAATATACCATGCACTCTTCTTCTTCAACCTTGTAGAACACTCAAACGTGTTCCTTCCTTGAATACAGCCGTAATGAATCACCACTCTACATTCAATTTTCTTTCAATCCTTCTTCTTTCCCCCCATTGATTTCACATCAACACCCAAACACCTCCATATTTCCTTTCATTATGCATCGATTCCAGTCAAGAACACAAGAACACTTCTCGTGTATTCTAGCAAACAGAAGAACAGAAGGTCTCCCTTCTTTCTTCCTTCTCTTTTCCGCCAAATGAAGCAACCAAACACCCCATGAGATCATTGTGTTGTCTATTTTCTTTTCCTGTCAAACCAAAACATCCATTTTTGTACGCCCATCGATCCACTGTAAAACATCAAACACCCAAATAGTTACTCATTCATCAATTTTCTATCAAAATAATCAAGAACAAACATCCCAAATACCCCCATCGATTTCAATCCACAACAGAAAAGAGAAAAAGAACTTTCTTTTACCTGTTAGCCACCGTCGACTGTTGCTGTTGTGGGTTGTTTACGGTCTACTGCAACCAGAGAAGAGGAAGGAAGCGGTGATGCTACCGCCGATCGCTGCTACCTGGTCTCCACTGGGTTTTCCTGCCCCGGTGGCTGCCCTCCTTACGATCTGATAAGAAATACCAAAAACATTCCCACTAATGGTCGTTTTCCCTTCTTGTTTCTCCCATCTCGATCAGTCAAGGATCGAGGATCTGATTTCCCCTCAAAACATGACTACTGGAGACGAAGGAAAGGAAAGAAGAGCGCATCAGAGATGCTGATTGTCGCCACCCACGTCGATGGCTGCAACTCCTTCCTTCCTTGTTCTTTCTGACAATCAACAACAGCCAAACACCCATAAAACCATCGACCACCGCACCTGCCATCGCTTTCTTCTTTCTTCCCCAACCAAGCCAAGCATTGGTGGTGCCATACGTGGGATCGGCGATTGCTACTGAGTTCGGTTATACACGATCGATCAAAGACCCCACCCGATTGTCGCCTTCGATTTCCCTCGTGTTCCTCTCTCGTTCGGCCGTATTCGTTCTATTGCCCGACTGCCTCTGTTTTCCTTCGTGGCTTCAATTGGGATGGATTGTATTCCTTTACCCGATCAAACCAAAGAAACGGGGTAAGAGTCCTGATCCCTTTTTGTAAATGGATCCACTTATGTGGATCGTACTTGGAGCCCCGAAAAAAAATAGGTTTTGATTTTGACCCAGTCAAAGGTCAAAGCTAAATCAAACTTGTATTTATATTAAACAGAAATGGTCCCTCCCCCAGAAAAACCTAATAAATCAGTCCTAAAACCCCAAATCAGTTTCGAATGCACATGTTTAAGCCCCTGTCTTGAGAATAATTCTCAATATCAGTCCCTGAAGTGTGATTTTGGGAAAATCAAACCCTAGAGTTTATTCATTTTAAGAAGGACCACCATATACTTAATAACTAATACCAAAACTACCATTTGGTTTATTAGGAAATACAAATATACTCGATGATTTGTCTTACGAACGAGGAATGTCAAGTAATAAATCTCACGACAAGTTTCCCAAAGGAATCCGAATATCGTACGAATCGAACTCACGCTTCAAGGGTGAGAGTTACGGTCCCTCTTTTATATTTATTCATTTTTGGGGGAGAATACATGTGCTAAATAGTATTTATTATACAAATTGATAAGTCTTATATGATATGCATGATACACGTTTATAGTTATAAAGACTTCCATACGTGAATACTTTCATGCATAAGGCTTTACATACATATACAAATATAAAAGTATTTCATAGTTTCAAAGACGACACCCATGAATACTTTTATACAAAAGGCTTTACACACTTATACAAGATCGTTATGTTGAAATACATATCTCTATAAAAGCGAGTAATTTATACTTTTATAAATACGTCAACCATACTCGGCTTTTACAAATGCTATACTACGAAATTCATTATGGCCGGTACTTAACTATAATTAAGTTAGGGCTGAGAGTTATTCACAAAGTTTTCGTTATTGGTTTTTGAGTGAGACGCTACTATTCATTAGCTAAGTTTAATCACTTAGCCTGCCCCACACTGCTATAATCGTTAATCTTCGGAGCGAGGTACATATGTATAGATCTATATGGGATCGACAACCCCACCTGCGGTTGCTAGCTACAACCATCGACTGATCAATCGAAGCAGGTGATATGTGTCTACGATCGTTACTACGACATCCAATGAAGCGTCGTAGGGAGGGGTACTTTTCATCCATAGCTCGATTATAGAACTCACTAAAAACATTAACACGAATCTCTCTCTCTCTCTCTCTCTCTCTCTCTCTCTCACTCTCTCTTACTACAACCATAGGTTTGGTTGCCTTCAAGTACATTTTTAAGTATGAAAATTACTTATACAAAGCATTCATTTGGACTTTTAAAGAAGTCCTTAGAAGTATATTTTTTAAGTATGGAAATTACTTATACAAAGCATTCATTTTGACTTTTAAGAAGTCATTACAAGTACATTTTATGTATGGAAATTACTTATGGAACATAACGTTTTGGCTTTCAAAGATTCATTATAAACGCAGTTTTAAGTATGAAAGTTACTTATACAAAGCATTCATTTTGACTTTCAATGAGTTATTACAAGTACATGTTAAAAACATGAATTTACTCATATCAAAATACATTCTTGGCTTTTAAAGACTCTTTGCAAATACTGTTTTTAGCGATCGTTATACATACAAATATGATACTTTTTAGACTTATTAAAAGTATCACTGCGTTAGCAGAAAACCTGTGACACTCACCAGCCTTTGTGTTGACTTTCAAAACTACATGTATTCTCAGGAAAACACTAAACAAGCATTCAAGACAGATTGGATTACAGGTGACCTAGTTTACTTACTGTTGTATTAAATGCCTATTTGTTGAGGCAATTCATGTATTATTATTATTATTTGTAAAAACCTTGTATTCAAATATCAAGATGGAACAACAATGCTATTTTGTTTATTGTTGTACTTGTGCTATATATTCAATTTGCCTGTGATCCATGAACTTAGTCGCACAGCCCGACATGTTACGCCGCCTCGGCCGGGGGTGTGACAGTAAAAGACCATTTTACCCTTTTCTTACTTAGCCCAAAACCAAGGCCCAACTCATTTGCTCAAAAAGCCTAATTTCCTAAAGGGCATCCCAAGGCCCAATATGGTCCAACTTCCTAATTGTGCCCAAAAATCATCCTATACCTAATTCCAAGAAGGCCCATATTCTATCTATGACCCAAAGTCAGAAGTCCAATGGACCATCAAGGCCCCATTTCTAAAAGGCCCAAAATAGACGCTCTAGGGAGTATGCCCTACGTACCAGGAATGTATGCTCCATGTACTCGCCTCTGAAGCACCACGTACAAGTCACCTATGTAAAAACTCGCATTACACTGAGCGTAGTCTCCCACGTATGCCCAACATACTCACCAGAGGTCCAAAAGTCCATAATAGGCTCTTAATGGTTAAGACAAAAGCATCCAAACACTTATCTTAACCCTAAATGATGTATTAAACCATAAAGTCGAAACCTTTAAGCCTTTGCATGGCTAAAGAGGGACAAATCTCCAAAATCCTTACTTTTACAACACTCAAAACCACTTAACTCTTGCATGGTTCTAAGGAAACGATTAAGAAAACATTTAGTATGACTCATAACATTCTAAGACCTCAGAAAGGACAACTAATATGCTCTGGAGTACTCCATACTCACAAAGATCCAAACTTTGGGACAAAGCTTATGAAACTATGCCATAACAACATCTAAGAATAGAGTCATCAAGTTTGAAGCTTTATACCTCCAGAAAGTAGATCAAGATGCACAAAGCCTGGATCCAAAAGCTTCAAGCAATCCCACACTTCTCCAAGAAGCTCCTCCTTCTTCAATAAGCACCAAAAATTAATGAAATACCACCAAAAGCTCAAGAACCACCCCAATGGGGGCTCGGGTTTTGTTTATAGGGTTTAATGGGATGGAGGTTGAAGATAAGAGGGTCTGGTGTTGATTTAAGGATCTTAAAAAGGGTCCAAGAGCCTAAATTAGGGTTTGGGCCTAACTGAAGTACGCCGTACGTAATCCCAGTACGCCCAGAATACTCCAAAGGAGTCCTACGAGTTCGCTGCCTAGTACGCCCAACATACTCCTATGTACGCCCTGCGTACTAGGCTCAACCCTAATTACCACCAAACTTCCAAAGGCCATAGCTTCTTTGTTAAGTCCTATTTCGAAGATCCTTATATCCCAGGAAAGGTAAAGAGGATGTATACAATTCTATCAACTCACCCTTGCCTTAAAACTTCCCGAACTAAAATTTGTAGTTCATAAAAAGCCAGAACTGCCACTTTACGGTTATACCCTTGGGTTCCAAAACACAACCGAACTTGGGTCACCTATCCTATAGTACTCCCATCCAAAAAAGGTACTAAAACTCTCTTCCTTTAAGGCTAAAAGCCTTATCATAACTGATCTTCGGGCCACGATCCTGAATAGTGAAACGATTCAAAACCGGGTGTTACAACTTTCTTACAGAAGTACAAAATTTTGTTATGCGATGCTTCGATAAGTGTCCAACTAGACTTCTTAGGCTTAAACACCTTAATTGGATAGAATATGTATGTGTTTAAACTCTTGAAGACTCATAGCTATATCTCTCGATAGTTCAAACTATTCCTTGCCATTCTCAAAATTCGAAATATGAAGATGGACGCTGTAAGCATATTGTGAATTTGAGAATGCAATTAGCACAACCAATATCCATATTGATATTTATAAGATCTTTAAAATCTACTAGCAAAAGTATTTCCTCATAATCATTCTCATGAATTAGAGAGAATATGTACCACATAGATTTCAAGGTGCATACGTTCCCATTCATGTGAATCTATCATTTCCAACCTACAATCATAAGACTAGGTTTAGGAAAAAACCAAATTAAAATTTAGCTTTCCTTCATGGATTAAACTTTGCTATTTTAAATTTCTTGCCATCTTGTAGCACAATGGCTTACCAGTGCTTCCATGTTGGTAGCAGCTCACCCAAATTGATCAATGTACTTTCACAGACGAACGTGTTTTTACTTTTGTAGTTAACTGAAAACATAGAACTCATAAGAATTGCCAACTCAACTTGAAGTGTACAGAAATAAGAATGTGTCAATCAAACACGACAAGTTATCAAGCTCAGGTTGCATGCCAGTGATTACTAAAGGTTTATTGTCGGTTGACCCTTGAAACTCTCCAGATCAATACGACTCACACTGACTTCTTTTACACACGCCTTTTCTCTTAAAGAACATTCCTCAATGAGATAAAACAAATATTCAAAAGTTCGTGTGGATTCCTGACAAGAAAACACTTCATAGAATTGGTCTGAGTTTATCTTTTGTTTCTCAATTAACGAAAACATCGCAACTCCAATTCTATATGTGCTAGAGTAAGAAAACAATTCTACTCCATATATTTCGAGGTGTTTTCAACTTTTGTTTGAAATCAATTTCAAGATATGATTCATAGTTACTAGAGCATGTCTCTACAACTTGATTTGGAATGAAGTATGATTCACCTCTTGATCGAACTATTTCCAACAATATCCGATTCCTCTTCTTGGTCATACAATTGCACTAAGATGTTTTTTGAGGATCAATTGTGATATATAAATCCACAATCACTAAGATAATCATAAAACATGATACTAAACTACTATCCTTTCGTTTCAGATTGGAGAAACTTTTATCTTTCTGCCTAATAGATTCTTCTTATTCTTTCTGCTACTCTATGAATGTTTTCAAAGTATCAAAATTATGCTTAATCTGATAAACATAACAATATCTACTGAAACATTAGAAAATCATGACGAATAGAGTTATCGTCCTTTGTGGTCGATTTAGAGAGTCCATATCAATATATACTAGATCCACTAGTCCTTTACTTCACTCACATAAACACGTGAACCATGAATTAGTCATAATTTTCCAATGGAAAAGATTCTCATGCTTCACACAATTCGAACTGCATGACTCCAAGTTTCTATCAAATTTGAAACTTGGTGATGAAATTTTTTTTCACTTGGTTAATTATGACAATACCACAAGCGATATCATAAGAATCAAATCCACAATTAATATTGCTAATATTAGAAACATAACCAACACTTTCATAAATTCCATTGGAAGGAAATATAAAATAAGGCAACCAGATAAACCAAAATGTCACTTTTATTGAAAATAAACGAAAAATTGAAACTTGTACTTACAATGTATAAAATGAAAACTATGTTTCTAGACATATCTGAAAAGTAATAACAATCTATTAAATTATCCTAAATCCTTAGTAGTAGCTCCAAATTCTGATCTTCGAACCATGTGACCAAGGTCCATTTCTCACGAACAAATTTAGCTTACCTTTCTCAAGCTTCCTTCTTTCTCTTATCTCCTTTAATACTATCGAAATGTGATCATCACACTATGTATTAAGAGTCTATGAATAGGAACTTATAAAACAATGGATTCAGATAATGGATGCACCTGAAGTAGAGTCACACAACTTCACTTTACTATCTCTAAGATCTTTTAGGTATTTTGGGAAGCTTCGTTTCCCCTGTCCCTTTAACTGGCAGTAGAAACAAATGGACTCTTTGGGGTCAACACATGGAACGATCCCATAACTACCCTTTCTATTTACCATACAATCAACCTGTTTAACCGTGGACGACCCCTTTCCATTGGGAAGGGAAATCTTTTTTGGACCACAATTGTGACCATTGTCAATGTCCATGGAAACCTTAGAATTAGATCCTATCATTATCTCTGCTTCAGGTGTGCTCTCAAGCATTTCTGCTTAACCAACCATCAAAATTTGGGTCAGACCAATTAGGGTCACGTCGATATTACTCATATCAAAGTTATCAATGAATTGATCATATGACTTTAGAAGCGAGAGAAGAACCAAATCAGTGGCTTGCTCCCATAGGAAAACAACTCCCATTCTATCCAACTTGTCAATGTATGATTTCATTTTTAAAATATGCGCACACATAAAGTTTCCATCTTGATGTTTACATGCCAATAGGGATTGAGTAGTCTCATATCTTTCAACTTGAGAAAAACATGACGTTGGGAGAGTCACATGAGCAGGAGATGGAAGACTTGAAGGGAGACGATGCCCAGTTCCATCATTTCCTAAGGAAGGGAAAACAATTTCACCTTAACTTGATATTGGAATACCATGTCCAGAAGATTGAGGAAAACCATTTCAAAAAGAATGAGGAAGACCATTTTAATCTTCCCGAGACATCTAAAAGTGGGAGAAAAAAGAATTCAAGTTAGTTGATTTTAATCCTTAATTATTAACCCATAAATTTAAATTAAGGCTATGATCCATATTTCGATTCAAAATTTGAAGAGGGATGGTGTAATCAAATTCGAATCTATTTTAGGTAGGTAGCGCTTTTACCAATTTCAATCTTATGAAACTCCTAGATCTTTTGATATTCATTTAATCTTATGAATGACATGTTTAATCTCAAATTATGCTCTCACTATTGTGACTAGGATGTCGAGGATCACAAACGAGATTTGAATAACAATGCAAATCCGTTTGACAACCTCAATGTTATTTATCATCTCACATTGATGTGCCGGTTAACCAGACACGCTCCATCAACAATGATAATTTTTGAGATGCCTATCATATTTGTTTATAATACCTATTAGTATGCCGGTTAAGCACACACGCTCCACTAACGACATATAAAGCATGATGTGCGTTTTCATGGATTGGCATACTTTTCACATTGGTTAACCGATATAAACCATTAACCATAACCATTAACCTACTAAAACCACTAACAAAACCAATATTAACCGCTCCCCAATGGTTATCGAAATACATTAACCAATTGTAAAGGTTTTGGTTCGGTTTTGACTTATAATTGAACCAAACCACCCCATACACACCACTAAGGGGCTGTTTTTTGTGAAGATCTACGCAACCACTTTTGTCT